ATTCGCGCACGTACACACATATACATATATATATATATATATATATAGTTACGTTCACAAGAGAACATACCTGCCACTCTTCGCTTCTCTCATTTCCACAAAACAAAAAACAGTAATTTCTCGTCATAATTGATTTCATCGCGACTCTCGTACGCATCATCATTTTAACGAAAAGAAAGACGTGTCAGAAAGAGCTTAAGCAAAATTGTCCTTTCTAAAACAGAAGGGTTGGCGACCCCGGTCTAAGACGACTCGTGAATTTGCTTTTTTCTCGCAGAAGCTAGAGGGTACTGTTTTTTTACGAGACAGAACAGAATATATATAGAATATAAAAAACAGTACCCTCTAGCTTTTGCGAGAAAAAAGCAAATTCACGAGTCGTCTTAGACCGCGGTCGCCAACCCTTCTGTTTTAGAAAGGACAATTTTGCTTAAGCTCTTTCTGACACGTCTTTCTTTTCGTTAAAATGGTGATGCGTTCGAGAGTCGCGATGAAATCAATTATGACGAGAAATTACTGTTTTTTGTTTTGTGGAAATGAGAGAAGCGAAGAATGGCAGGTATATTCTCTTGTGAACGTAACTACCCCTATTTGGTAGTGTTTCAGTCGTCATAAATTCAATATAGTCGTAACGATACACCAGGAATTTATTCGCAAGAAATTATGATTACCTGTCACGTTCCACTTTCACTATTTCGGAAAACAGAAAAATAAATTCTTACCGTAATTGATTTCATTACGACCGGCACAAAGGTGGAACTTCATCGAGTACTTCTTTCATACCTGGTGCAATCGGCGACCCCCTTTCAAACGATTCGAAATGCTGTCCGTACGTTTATAGAGCCGAACATGCGTAAAACGGCTCGGGTCTGAGCCGATAGTCGACATCGTGATGTATCGATAAAATCTGAAAGACGACACGCGGAGTAGGTGAGAACCTGCGAAAGTACGAACGATTGCCTTCCTATTCGTACATCGATGAGCTCATCGACTTGGAGCTCGTTGCTCCGACAAGTTTCGAAATTTTCGATTGGCAGGAATGATGAAACGATTGTATTGTCGATACCGTGTCGAGCGTCGAAGTTAGCATTCGTCGTATCCGAATTTTAGCACGATCAGAATTTTCGCGGCGTGATACTTGACACGGTCAAACCGCTGCGGCATGGAAATCGTGATCTCTCTTGAATTTTTGCTCTAAATCGTGTTTTTAATGTGAATGTTGCAGCGAATTTTGCGTCGAAGACTCCTTCTGCCCTTGGCCTGTGATTTCCGCGAGACCCATTCCGTTCCGAATTTTGAGAGAGCGTGCACGGATATATAACACCTTTTGTTGGCTCGTGTCTATACTCAATACGCTTCGAATACCGAAGCATCTGTCACCGTGGATCGTCGCGAGGCATTCGGTACGTCTTATACACACATATTTACAATGTTTTCTCAACAAGAAAATAATACAAGGCAGTGTCGGCAATATAGGCAGTGATTCATAGAGTAAATGACACTTCGCAGAGCCGATCTCTCAAACCGTCGCGATCTCAGGTTTAGTTTGACGTTAGAATATTGAAGGAACTGCAAGAAACTCTGATATGGAGGTTCGACCTCGTCGTTTGATATGAATGGTTCCGCGATGGACGAGAATTGATCTTGTCATTTCCTCCGAGAATAAACGTACGATAAAGATGCGGTAGAGTCACCAATGATTCACCATTAAACTTGTTTCCGTTACTTTAACCGAGGCCAACCAAAGACCCTTCGATAATCTTTAAATATTCGTTCGATTCTCTGAGGACAGGAAGGAAACGATTTTCCATAAATAAAATGTCGCATCTACGAGTCAGCCACGAACGTCATGTGCATGTATACGAGCGATATTTTTATCGTACTCGGTAAATTGTCAACGCCTCGTTCGGAATAGGAAACCAAAATGGCGATTGCATTCTGAAATTTGAATGCTCGAACGATCGATGTTAAAAAAATTGTTACGCTTTCTTTTCAGTCGTCATATGGACCGTACTTTCATTTTTCTTGTGTATCCTACCGTCATCAGGGTTGCCATCTACTCTATCGTTATGTGTTACTGAGATAGCATCGTAGACTCTCGTCAATATATGAATTAGGAAATTTTATATAAATATTAATCTGAAACTTTATCTGATGAAAATAAAATTTCTAACATATATTTATATATGATCGTATATTTAAAATGTTGTCATGCAGTTTAAGCAAATTACTGATAACAGAAATGGAGTCTCTGTAGAATTTATTCAAGCAGAAGTACTTTTATTCGTATATTGCGAACAAAATTTCTCTGCTTCCTTTTGCAGCAGCAATGGATGAAGTTGGGAGGTGTTACGAGAAATACGCACGAAAGAAAACTTATGCTTTGTCCTTACTCTTTTATTTACGTTTGACGCGTCCCAGTTTTTCCTGTTCGATAGATGACAACCCTAAGTGTGACTTCGCTCCAGAAATGCGTCCAAGGCAGCGTTTCCCAAACTTTTCAGCCACGTCACACTTTTCATTTTACAATATGTTTCACGGAGTACGTTTCCATTCTTTCGTGGCTATTTGGAATGACAAAAATGATGGAACGTAGAATCAATAAATATCAACTTGCGAATATCGATTAATAAAAAGTTCAACAATTTCGACGGTTTTCTTCTGATGAATATGTTTTTTAACTTTGAAGTGACATGCAATTCCACAAAACAATTTATATTTAACATAGGTGTACGTTTATATTCCTGGCAAAATTCGTAAAGAATGCTATTGGTTGATAAGAAGACATACAACAAGGTGAATTGAATTATTTAATAAAATGTCGATAACATTTGATTTGAAAATCAAGCTAGCCCATAGTGGGTAATTTAAATATAATTTTACATGGATCGTTTATACGTGATCAGTATTTGGGAAACGCTGGTCCAAAGTTGGAAACAGAGCCCAACGGTCTTTCCCTATTGTGCGTCGTATTTCGTCGATGTAGACAAAGAAGGAACAACGAAGAAAAAATTTGTATACATATAGAAAAGGGATGGAAAGTTTCGTAAAGACGTACACTCGCCAGTCGTTTCGATTGTCATCGAGACGTCGCAGTTCGAAACGATTCGAAAGCGTACGCGTGGTAGACAGTCGAGTATAGACACGTTTTCGCTAATCGTTCCTCTATTCGAATATAATTAATCACATTCGAAAAAATTCATCGAACAAGTTTCAATTCTATCGAGCGGCGCGGACGAAGTTCTGTCGGCGTATTCTCCTCCCCGCGCTTTCTTTCGTTACGTCACCGCCACCCGCACCCTACTACCCCCTACCCTGCCCCATTCTTTTCTTCTAGAATCACACTCGCGCGTTGTCGAGTTAATCTCGATGTGAAAGAAACTACGAAACCCTCCCGATGTCCTCGACAGAATCCCGCGATCGATCACGAAGACTTCGTTACTGTTTGGCTTCCTGGCGAGAAAGACACGAAGATCGCGAAACACTTTTGACAATGATGAATAATGAATAAGAAGGGGGGAATTCAGTTTCGAACTTGCGTTTCGGTCGTCTTCTACTGTGCCAGTGCTTCCCAAATTTTTGTTTGCGTCACGACACGTTTCGAGTCTTGCAAGACTCTAATCGTTTCAAAACAATCGGAGGTGGATATTAAAAACTATTGTTAGAGAGGAGATTAACGTTTGTGCACTCTTTTCCAAATAGTGAGGAATTTGCAGTGATTTAAAATTCTAAAACAAATATTTGTAATTAAAATAAATTGTATTCTTTAAAGAGTAGCTTTCAAGAAGAGTGAAATTTTTTAATGAAATTCGTGGGACTGTTTCTTTAACATAACTCTTGAATTTTCAGGAGAATTTATAGTTTTTAAAGTAATCTTTCATTTATGTTAATTTGGCAGTTTTAATACGTTAATTAGTGTACGAAAGTGGGTATAATACGTCTTCGACACCTGTGGTCGAGCCAAATATTTGTTAGATTTAGCGAAGATTACCTAGAAATATTTAGTAATATGCGAACAGTGGAATTTTGTGAAATTCTGAAAGCGTTCCAAGATACTAATAGTTCGCAATTTTGCTTCCCTCTTGAAATTATAATTAATTAATTATATATCACTAAATACTTTCACAGTAACCTCTAGGAGTCGTTGTACGTTATACATTTGCTTGCATAAACCAATTGGAGCATTAAAGTTCATAAAATTCAATGATTGTTTTATAATTCGTTCCACTGTTAGCAGAAAATGGCATAAAAGTGCTCTCTGCAATATTTTCAAACGATGAAGACTTTAGCGAACAAATTCCTTTAATTCATTTATTATAAATTTTCTCACGACAGTTGGGAGGCACTGCGTTATGGGACCGTTTCGTACGCTCTCCTTTTCAATGCTATTGTTACACGAATATATGTACAATGATTTCGCGTGATTTACAGAGATTATTAAAACGATCGATTCAAACGATGAGAATACAAAAGACGCTATCGTACGAGTTTCGTGGAAGATCGTAGTTTTTTTTTTTTAATATTATAATTCCTATAAAAAATTCTTGCCGCGTTCATTCCACCGGAGAAGGGGAAATGTATTCACGAGCTTCGTGTCGTTCATCCCTTTCCCCCCGCGTCAATTTCAAAGAAAGATTCAACGAGAAGCCCCGCGAGTAATTAATCCCCTAATTGCTAACGGCCGGATCACACTGTCTCGACGCGCGAAACGCGTTTCTCTTCACCTTTGTTGGGCCCGCCATTCGTACACAGAGAAAAAACGGTATCATCGGGACGCCAGGCGTCGTCGTCGTGAGTTTGTCGATTCGATCGCGTCCGCCAGCCGATAATTCCTATCCGACGCTTCATCGTCGAGGATTTCGTCCCCAAGCTCGAGACACTCGGGCGTCGAAGATGAATGTTTTCAGCGCGCGGTCATCGGCTGTTTGTCGCTGGAGATCGACCGAATTACAAAATCGTCTCTAGGAAATGAACGACAAGTGAAATTCTGTTGTTCGGAGCGATCGACTGGCGTTTCAACCCTCTCGACGTACCGCAGAGAAACGAGAAAAGAAAAGAAATGCTAATTGCTGGCCAAAAGGAACCCTAACCCAGTCGAACCCCACCGTCGTCGATCTGACTTTTCTCTCGCGGTTTGTCGCGTTTCTCTTTTTTTTTTTTTTTCGGTCATCTTCGCGAAGTCACTTTACGAAGAAGCCGTCTCGCGTCCTCTTCGTCCCGTTCCTCGTCGCTGGAGCGTTCCTCGAGGCGTGTTCCCGGGTCTCGTAGCAGGTGATAATCGATCATCTTGCGACACCATCCACCTCTCGTTCCTGATTATCGTTCCGGCGCGAAATAAGACGGGTTCTTCGAATAAAGGACCATGAGTATCAGAAGGGCGAGGACGAACAGACGGCTGCCGTGACTCGAATACAGCGTCACGACGCCCGCCAACCACCATAGCGTCGGACAGCCACCCGGTGCCGAGCTGATCCCCCTCTGAATAGCAGCGGGATGTTCGCCTGCAGCAGACAATTTATTCGATTTCATTCCACTCATTTATCTCCCGGAATGGTCTCGATATTAAAGCGCCGTACAATTTTATTTTTAACAATTTTCAGGCAATTTTCGTGATTTTATTTTGTAGTCACAGTAATTGGCATAAAAATTTTAAATTTCGTATGTTTGGTTGTATATGTATACAGGGTATCCCAGAATTAGTGTAAGAACCGGAAATGGAGGGGGGGGGCGGGGTAGCTGGAACGATTCTGAAGCACAAATTCCTATAGGTAAATTTAATTTGGTGTCATTGTTTCCAACTCTTCAATACGGAATCACTTTCCTTTTAATTGTGTCACACATTGTTAAACACTCTGTGTAATGTATTTCTTTCGTGGCTGGGCCCGCATCTGAATTGAAAACAACGAGTCTTTTGAATTGTAAATTAATTCTACAGTAAATTAGTTCTCGCGTTTGTAATTACGACTGACACTGCACAAAGACATCTTTGAAACAAAGGAGTCTCTGTTACGAGCCAAATTGCGGTGTTTATAAAATAATTCTAACATCTTTGAAAGCGCAACAATTACCGGGCAAATATCGCGACGACATTTAACTATCCGTTTCTATTTGATGCAGGGGGGGTCTCTATTGCGTTTGTGCTTTGCGATTCGCCATGAATTTAAGTCGATGAACATTCAGTATTCAAATTCTTGGAAATGTACCTTTCAAGGGAAGACAAAAGAATAGAAATATTGGCTACGGTGAAGTTTAATATTTGCACGAATTTTGAAATATTCTCAATCATGTAATGCACTTAACAATTTTCTTTATTGGATGGTTCTGTATTTCCACGGATGGATTTACGAGCGCACGCGAATCGAGAACCAGAGTCAATTGCTGATATCCTTATTCTAGTAAAATATTATCTTTGGCGCAATACCGTATCCAAATACATTGATATTTTTCAGAGTAACTTCGTACTCACTATGAATGGTACACTCACAAGATGAGGTCACGACCCAGATAAGCTCCTTTTGAATGGAATTGATCTTAAAATGAGGCCGATGAGTGTGCGTAAAGTCTAGAGTATTAGCTGCTAATGTCCTATTAACGAAGAAAGTAGTTTTAAACGTCCTCATAAATAAAGGAGAATTCTTTCTTTCTTTGTTTTCGCATACCTTATATCACTTTTATACAGTCGTGTGCAATATTCTTATTTATTCACAGTCACGTACAATTAATGTTGCTGTAAGATTTGTTTCCTTAGTTCGATCAATGTTTAAATTGTTCCTTTCGAAGAATATTTTGACCGAAGGTTGCTCACTGATGCCAAAATGTCGAAGCAGTACCAGGGATTTTATGCTGCAAAAGGGATTCAATTTCGTTGCACGATTTTGCAAAGTTCTACGTAATATTCCAACGTTACGAAACGTTGAATTTGGAAACAGAAAATACTGTGTATCTACAATTCTTCGTAATATTTAAGATTTTATAGATTAAATAACGATATAAATAAATAAAAATACTACAAAGAATTGTACATGCGCTGTATTTTGAGCTCGGAAATTCAACGTTTCATCTCGTTGAAGCATTAAATAGAGCGTTGTACAATCACGCAAGGAAATTGCAATCCCTTTTGCGGCATTAAAACTCTGGCCATCTGAAAACCAGTGAACTTTCATGTGAAAGCTAAAAGGACTTAAAAATGTCCAGAGCCATTTGTGATAAATACGTCTGGCCAGTGGCGACCAGGGTATTGTAGAACTGGTTCATCCGAATCGTGCTCGTGTGGGTCGCGGACCTCCGTTCGGGAGTTAAAAATGAATCTTCGGCTCGAATTCACTTAAAAGAACGTTTCTCCCGTTTCGCGACACCGCTATGGTACTGCATATTTCTTCGCTGAAAGAGATTTATGTTAATGGAATGCGAAAACGCTTACCATTCAACACGTGAAGCTGCACGCTCGCGCTGTCCAAACTGCTCGGGCTGCAAGTGTAATTACCCGAATCCTCCGGCCTCGCGTTGCGGATCTCGAGACTGCTGATCGTGTCGTTATTGATCCTCTCCGTCTGGATGTCGATTTTGCCCAACTGATTGTCCAGGACGCGGTCGCCCTCGTGGTACCAGAAGACGTAGAACGGTCCCTCGAGGGACTGTTTGATCATGCACCGTATGGCCACTGTACTTCCGGTCTTCACGTACATGTCGCGATCGCCTATGATCTCGATCTTTGGCACTGAAAAAATCGATAAATAATATCTGTCTTCCGTACCACGGCTCGAGCTAGTGCTGGGCAAAAATTGATCCACGATCTACTGATTCTACGATTAATCGGTAATCGTGATTAATAATCGGTTGATAAACAGATAGGATTAACTTTGAAAGATTGCACATCGTGATCAACCATATTTTGATATGGGCATATTATTGCGTGTGTTGCGTATGTTTTTCATATTTTAGATAAAATAACACACATCGTGTGTTATGCACAGGGATATTCATAGTTCATAGCTCATACAAACTAAAAACATAGTTCATGATTATCGATTAACCCGACATTATGAAAGTAATAACAAAGCAATAACACAGGCCAACTTATTTTTTCCGAACGCGTGCACTGCGTTCAACCAATAACCAGCGAACATCGACGGAAACGATGTCATAAATTGCATCGAAAGGAAGAGTAATACGCGAGCATTTTTACGCTCGAGTAATTATACATCGCGCTGGCGGAACTTCGTCTGGGAAGTGCAGTGGAAGCTCGAAAAATAAAAGCTCGATGATTGCACGAGAACCTCGTTCGTTTAATTGTGTCGTGGGAGGGAAGAGGTATCATCGGCCTCTGGGAAGAATGCCTCTGAGGTGTACGTTCGATTCAAATGATACGGTACCATCGTGGTACATCTGTGGAGGTAAAAACCAATAAGAGGAACTTCATTTGCACAGTACGTCTCCCGTGTCTGTGGTCACTACTATCGTTGGCCTCTGAGAAGAATGCGTTTGAAGGGTACGCTAGACTTAAATGATACTGTTCGTGATATCGTAGTGCGCGTGCGAGTTAACCAAAGCAATCAGAAGGAATTTCGCCTACTCGGTAACTTTATCTGCAGTTGCTACTATTATTGGAAAGAATGCTTCTGAAGGAGATAATCGGTTCGAATTGATACTGTCCATAATACCGTAGTGCATCAGCGGAGGTAATCAAATTAATGAGAAAGAGCTTGCACATCCTCGCTGTCTGTATCGACGACTTCGATTGGTCTCTGGAGGGAATGGTTCTGAGGGCTTTATTCCGTTCGAGTGATTCTGTTTTCGAAGCATAATCATTTGAACCGAATGCAACCAGAAGTCACTTCTTTTATACACGGTAATATTCGATACACGGTTAATTAATATTCGATCGTTTACAAATTTCAATGTTAAATATTTCCAACCTCTTTTTCTATTTCTTACATTAAAAAATCTCGTTACATCGAGGGATCAAATGGGAAATCTTCAGCACATATTTAATTATGCATTCAATATTTCATTTTTTCTATCTTACAGTCTATTTATTTTCGTAATTTGCGTGCATGTTTTTTTGCATAATACAGAGCAATCTAAACCTATTATTAAATCTATTATTAAATGCTCGAGGCAAACAATAGTATAATTAACAATCATTTGAACCAAATGAACTTCCCATCGAAAATCCTCTCAGACCCCAACGATGGCTCACGGGTAGTAAATTCTGCGTAAATGGAGCCCACTTCTACCGGTTTGACTACCTCCGTTATTGCGGGAATATTTAGCCTCGTTACGCTAGAATTATCGAGATTCCACTGTGCTTCGCCGATCGATGACAGAGCACTTCTATAGCGTTATAAAAATAACGTGAACAAAGAAGTCGCGTTGTTGGCCTGCGTGGTGTAAAGAGTGTCAGCGCGATCTCACCGACGATGGTCAGCTTGATGATGTGACTCTTCTTCGGATCGGTCGAGATTTGGCACTCGTACTCGCCTTCGTCGCGTTCCTGGACGTACTTCACCTGGAGCGTCCAGCTGTCCACAGCGCCCACGAAAATCGCCTGGAACCTTTCGTCCGGGATAAACATGGTTCTATCTACGGAGAGGATATGCGAGTCCCTTCTTCTGACCCACGCCACCTTTCACGTTTCGGGAACAAACAAGACAAACGTCAGTCGTATTATCGGCAATTATCGGCAATTATCGTATCGGAAAGCTCGTTATATTAAGTTCGTTAGTAAAAAGTCAAAAGTGACAACTGCTCCTTGGTAATGAAGCGATGACTGAATTTTTTTACTGAATTTCTAAAAAGGAATATTTATTACACTTGTTTTTTGTTAGTCTTGGCATATCGGTAAATGCCTCAAGTTTCAAATTCGATACCGGTCTTTTAAATCGAATTGTACATTTGCAATTGGTTCGTTTTTAATATTTGGCTGTATGTATGTTCTTTTAAACGAATGTTAAAAAAATAAACTTCAGCCATCAAAATTGTTCAAATGATAATTTACATTGATATTTTGGTAAATTTACTTTGGAAAATCAGGCTTCTAAGGGTTCGATGTGTTTCTAAACCAGAAATGGGTCAATCGATACCTTGTCGAAAACAAACAGTACGCGCTAAGTTCCAAGTCTGGCTAGACAGGGGACCCTGTGAATGCTCTAATATAATCTAGAAATATGTATGCATGCAATATGATAAATCTTGTTAAATCTTGAATTTTGGATTTGATAAAAATTGATCGACGTTGTCCATATTCTATTTACTCATACTATAGCTGGATGCTGGAAAGATACTTGTCAGGTTGAGGCGAACGTGAACAATGTCGAGTAATTTTTGCTTTACTCGAAGGTCTTCAAAGGCTGACTGAAATGTCTGACCCAATACGGTTCGCAATTCCTTACAGAGATCAACTATTCGGCTTTGTACGAAATTACATTTCCCTTAAGGGTTAACGTCGGCTTCATGCTGGCAAAAAATCGATATTTCTCTCGCCGTATTATTTTGTCTTAAAACTTGACGTGAAAATTCTGTTCTAAAATATCAAAGAGAATCTCGAAATGGCGACGTGGATACATTTTTCGCGAAGCGTATTCAAGCGCTCCGAACAGCTTTCCTTAAACTTTAAACGAGTTTCGAAGGTTTCTCTAAATCGACGTTCTTTCAAACAACATTTCTTTATGAAAATTGGAAGTCGAGTTCAAAGTATGTAGTCTTAACGGATAAGCAGGTTAATTTTGAACGTGGGCCAGGTCCATTTTATGTTACTGCCCGATACCCTATGATTTCCATTTGAAGTCTAAAAATATTCGCGAGTAACAGTAGACTTATTTTATATTTTTTAAAGTCTTATTTCACGTAAATTTAATATTCAATAATAGTAATTATAGATATTCTGCATTCCCTACAAAAATTCCCAATTATTCCTACTTTGTACGATTTGAAAGTCTTCGATTAGTTTCTAACAAACCCTCCTGTCTCTCCATGAATCGAAACGATGCACCAGCTTGTATCTGCAACGCAAACGTTTCTTTCGACGTGCAACGGAATTCTTCCAGGAAACCGCAGCGGCGCGCGATCGCTGGAAATAAAAATAGAATCGAAAGAAAGGGGAACACCCGTGTCCGCGGTCGTATATTTTTCTCATCAGTTTCACCGAGAAAAGTCAATACGCGGCTTTTTTCTCGACCGGGAACCACGGACGGGGAGTATTAATCTCTTCTGCCATACGTCCAGTTCCATTGTTATATTTTTCGCGGAAGCGTGGCTGTTTCTTCGAGGGAAAGAAAGGCGAAATAAAGCGATAGAGACGTTTCCAGCGATGGGGCGAAATTCAGCTGCGTCTGGGCGGATTCTGGTGTGCGCCGTCCGATGAATACAGACAGGAACTGGAAGTCGAAAAAGCTGGGAAAAAGCTCGTGCCCGAGGGGGAAAAAGAAGGGACGAGCGAGAGGCCCCGTTCGACTTTCCGATCTCGGTCGATCAATCTTCTCTCCCTTGTCTACCGTTAATTTATCGTCCGTCGATCGGCTCCGCGAGCGTTCTTTCGTCGCTGCATGGGTCCGCAAGAAAGCATATTAGGAGTACATTCAATTTATTTGCGCGATAGGTATCGCGAACGCCACGGTCGGGTCGATTCATGCGCGACGGGAGGTGTTTCTACGTTGTAACGACGACTTATGGTCGAGTGGAAGTTGTAATCAACAAAGTAGAGTAAGTGCTTCTTTGCCTCGGGGGGTGGTCGCGTAATACGGGCAACACGGGAAACGCAGACTGGTAATTTCAGTCGAAAGAAAAATTTGTCTGTGCAACTCCGCTGACATCGGTACTAACGAACGCAATTTCAACGACGACTTCCCGGCTGCAATTATTATCGAAGAAACTCGAAGCTAAATGGTATCGGGTTTACTTAGCGCGGGCTTTATAAATAATACCCGACGAAATGAACCCGATATCGTTGAGTTTAGGGTTTCTCCTGTGTACAAAACCTTGAAATCGTGCGCCATTAGTCGCCTTAAGCTTATGACAATGAGTAATTACCGCTATGATGCTGTTCGTGCGTAATGAGGTACAGGGATGAGGATCGGTGATTACAACTGCTTGTTTTGCTCTACAAATGAAAGCTGTTTTGGATATGAAGGTAGTATAACTACGCTCCTAGACTAAACGATGGTAGACGTCGAGTAGTTATCGATTTAAATTATTTAGTCATAGTTTCTGTACTTAATTTCTCTGGAAAACACTTGTGTACCAAGTTTCATTCAAATTCAGTCATCTTTTCACATTTTGTGCCGATATATCAGATCCGCCATTTTGAATTTGTAAATTTTTAGTTTGGATTTGGAATCAGCGACCTCAAAAATACTCTTATACCAAGTTTCATCTAAATCGAATCGTTTTTCGTATTTTGGTCCGCAATATTGGATCCGCCATTTTGAATTTGTAAATATTGAGCTCAGATTTGAAATCAGCGACCCCAAAAACCCTTGCATACCAAATTTAATTCAAATCGATGGTCAAATGAATATAAATGTTTCTTTTTCGACGAACTTTGAGGGATTTTTCCAACCAGGAAATACTACAATGTTTACTATTATGTGACGGAATTTAGAGGGGTGGGGCGTCCAGCAAATACTACAATGTTTACTAGTATTTCTCGGAATTGCATCGGCCTTGCAAGGACGCTGTATATAGGTCAGTGGGTCTATCAGTCATTCATAATCGTCTATAAAATAGGAAATTTTGAGATGTTATAGCTCAGCGTGGAATCGTCCGATTCGATTCTAACAAAATCCAAATTGAAGAGCGAAATTTCCGCTATCTGACAAATACTTAAACAATTGTTTTTTTTTTTATTAGAACACCTGCTACATTCGTACAAAATGTGATGTGTAATAAAATACAATTAATTTCGTTCTTATTCAGCGACTTTCCTCGACTCGAATTTGAATTCAAATTAAATATCAATTCAAAAATGAATTCCGACAGATCCAGTTTCGTCACCGCTTTTGTGACTACCTTTACACCTACCAACAGGAAGTTTAACGAATGAAAACGTTTGAAGTGTGCTATCGCCAAGGTTCATGCAAATTGTGCTGCTATTTACATTTCCTTCTACAACTTCGTGGAAACAAGTTTTGTTTGAATGTCTTTCAGCGCGTTTAATTCTAGAGAAGCGTTGCATATACAACATGTTAAAAATGTGCATATTGTTATGGTTCTCTTGAGAAATGCAGCAAGCATATGTTATCATTTTTCCCAGAACTGTGGATAATAGAATTTATCACAGGACACGTAATATTTTCGACAAGCATATGTCGACGAATTAAACGTTTCCGAGATGTTCAATATTTAGTTCGCAAACCACTGTCTTCACGTTTGATTTTACGTGGACGTAGAGTGCTGGCATCTCGAGAATGTCGCATTTTCTATCAAAGGTTCTCACAAAGACCTACGTAAAGACTCGTAAAGGGACCCGATAAAAGCCTCAGGGGTCTTTGTACACTTCAACTCTATCTTTTATCAAATCAGAGTCTACGTTCCAAGGACGCAGGATTATAATTTCATGCGGGAATGCTGGGTGTTTTAAAGTCTTTGAAGAAACCTCATCAACACATTTTCCTAATTGTACTGATGAAAGGATCATCAAATGTTGTCACTCAATCAAATGTTTAGTCAATCAATCAATAGTCAATCAATCAAACATTTTTTACGATTGATACATTTTAGTAAATACACATCATAGGATAAATGTACGTTAAAATCTTTTTAACCCCTTCAGACCATGATATGTTATTTCTCATCCACTTAGTATGCATTCATTGGAAAAGAATTCTTTCCTTAAAAAAAAAAAAAAAAAAAACAAATCTAAAAGGGTTAGCCTATAATTATTACAAGATCATTTCGATTTTTGCAACAGGGAACCAGAATTGTTCCCCCGCCCCTCCTCCTTTCTTTTTCCCCTACCTATCTCAGCCAAGGTGCAATAAAGACCTCCAACAAAAATAAGACAAATAATTTGTCGCGTGTCGCGGTTGTCGAACGTAATTTGTACAACACGAAAAGGAAGCAGTCCGGGCGGCGTACACACGTTTACCCGTCGATGTAACACGCAGCTAAAGTTTGATCAGTTCAAGAACACCCCCTGCGATGTAATGTATTCGCACGTTTCCCGGAACGGAACACGGAAATGCAAAGAGAGAGCCCGCGGAGCGCGGCGCCCCGTGTTCCGCGAAATTGTCCGCAAAGAACAATCGCTTTCAATCGTGTTTCCGAGTGCGCCGGGCGAACAATGGCCGTTGACAGAAAGTCAGCGGTAAAAGTACGTTTAATTCCGCGCGCGATAAGTATCGGGGGTGCGAAGGGGTAGCGCGGGTGCGACGGGGGTTCGCGACCCTTAAGTACGCAACCGGACGATTATACAAGGGGTCGCGTGTCGCCAGACACTTAGTCCTGGCTCTCTTTCGACGTATGTACAACTTTCGTTGTTGTATACACAGAGGGGGCAGGTTAAAAGTTCGCTAACGAGCGATACGGAGCTGCGTACGAAAACTTTTACCGGCACCGTGCAACGTCCTCGGGTCGTTTTTCGAGTGGCGTCCTTAAACTGCGCCAATACGAGACCCGAACTCGCCAACC